CCCTTCCAACTCCAGAGATTCTGTGATTCTGCTGCTCTCTATGATCTGTTTTCATCCCCCACCACACAATCTACACAGACCTTCTGGAAGGAGGGGGAGGAAACCTGTCAGCTTGATGTGTAGAAAGTGATTCATAGCTACCTCTTCCCCCTGTACTTGTCCCAGCATGGCATTTTCTAATTTTTTTTTTACTGTATTTCTGTCAAGGAGTGTCATTAAAACTCCACAGAAAATGTAGTTAAACATAGCTCTCTCATTGTTACTGTAACTTAGAGCAATTTAGATTTCCCATGTACAGAATGAAAATAATTTAGAGATTCACTCTGAAAACTGACAGGCATAGCTTTCCAATTGTTATATTACTATAGGAAGTGTATTCTAAATTACAATCTCTCCCAAGATTAATACTGTGTTAATCAGCTCTTGCTCACAATTAGGAAGTGTAGTTATTATAAGGGACTAAGACTAATGTGGACATATTTCAAGCTCTTTAATTGCTCTTTTCAGTGTAAGAATTTTTAAAACAATGAAGAAGTTACCTTTAGCACTAAACAATAGTCTGTGGGTGCTTTGTATTTGTTCCGATAGTCCTGTCCATAGTAAACATTGACATGATCTAGCTGTAGAAAGCACACAAGATCCCGCGAGACCTGTTAAATATAAAAACAATCATTTACAAAATATCTTTATATGAAAACCACACACACTGACAGAATCAGTCTAATGTTAAGATTCAATACTAATATAAGGTCTAGTTAAGGTCTAATATTAGTTTCAGTGTGATTCAAAAACTATCAATACAAGAAGGAGATATAGTCATACATAAACTCATGCATCAGACATTCATTTTTAACCAGGATATCCTTTTCCAAACCGGTCCTTCATCTGAATTCTGCTTGAGAAAAGACAGCCTCTTAACTCCATCACTCATTTTTCCTTAAGTGTTTCTGAAAACATAACCCTGAGCTCACTCAAACAAGCAGATACTTGTCTTCTTGAATTATTAAATTTAGCACATCAAGTGCTACCACAGTAATTTACACACATTTCCATGATAAAGCTGCACTTTTAATTAAGGGATGTGGCACTAGGCAGGGCACAGCTAAGTCAAAGTTTAAGGTTGACTCTTGTGTGCATGGTGTACCATTAACAAACAATTCTGGGAAATTGCTTTAAAAGAGCATACCTTTGCCTTCCCTTTAGGGACATAGTAGATTCCAGAAGCTCGAAGAAGAAAGTAACGTTTCTTCCAAGACTTCTTACCATCCTCTTTCAGCCACAAAACTCCCTCAATCTCTGGCACGGTTACAGAACTTCCACAGAAACATTCCTGCCGATAAACACAGTGGTTTGGGAAGAAAGAAGGAGACAAAACATACAGCACACAGTGGTTTGTTTTCAATGACTGAATTCTGAAATTCTTTATCTAAGAAATGCACCTATAACAGGGACAGGTTTGTTTTGGTTTTTTTTAATGCAGTGATGTGAATTAGAGATTAATTGTAGAAGCTATAAGGTAATTCAGATAAACACAATAGGGGATCTTAGCATTTCCTCAGTGCAAGAATGACAACAAAAATATTAGCAGCTACTGTAAAGATTTTCTAACCACTGCTTATCAATAATAGATGGCTTTGCTGAGTTTAAAGTCACGAGGTCACCTTATTTATACAGCCTCATAAGTCTAAGTATACACAAAACCTAATTACAGCTATAATTCATTCCCTGAGTACTTTGTTGCTAACTGCCAACACTACAACTTCTGTTAAGGTTCTATTTATAAAGAACTAGCTAAGAAAAACAAATGCTTTAAGTAAACTCAAGATTAATATGCAGCACAGAGATCTATGAGTAATCCTAGAAGACAGAAAGAATTAGATAGAAATACAACTCTGCATGCCATGGCTTCAAGCATCTTCTTGATCAACAGTATTCACATGAACACTTATTAAAATCCATATTAATAATACAGTAAGAGCATGCATATGCTACTTGTAAGTTAAACTGTATTAAGTATAATCCAAAATTAAATACCTAAAATATTTATTCTTGTGTAACTACTAAAATCTTAATCATTGTTCTGAAAATCAAGTGGAATGACACTTCAGCATGGGTATTTTTCTACAAAAGTGTCACAAAACTATTCAGTGTTCAGCCCCCTTATGGAGGCTATGTTTACTGTTTGCTTCATGTGATCCACACTTTTTTTTTTTGTTCTTAGTTCTGTGAACTATTGAATGTTTTCGATATAAATTGACTTCATTTTCTGTAACTCATTTTAAAAATTTAATATTTGGTTGTTTATTTTAAAATGTATTTTAAACTATTTTAAACTACTTTGCTTACTAACAATATTTAAAATACTAGCGTAGACCAGAATTTTGTAGAGAAAAACCATTTGGAGAGTACTAGTTAAAGCTCTACTACCACAGGCCAAAAAAAACCAGGTGACAGCTCTGCAGACGCCAACTGTTTTTAGCCAAAGTTACAGGTAACCTCATTTTGATTATCACTGTGTATGGTATTTTAGTTATTAAACAAAAGAAAGGTACATTTTTATTAACTGATCGTATCTGAAACAGGGTAACATCAAAATAGCCATTTATCTCAAATGCAATGCATTCTATTCACAATTGGTCCAGAATTACATTCAGTTCCATCCATCAATTCCAATCAATACAATCTTTTAGAGTTCAGCTTTAAACTCTGAAATGACCACTATGCTCTTTTTGTTTCGGCAGTCTTACCTCTAGCAGCACCTCTTTATTTCTGTCTGCCATCTCAGAGGTTTCTTTCTTCCCCAGAAGATAGTTCTGTAACAAGAGAAAGTTTAGTATTTCTATATGCATTCTGAAATCAAGCCAAATAACATTTCTTATTTACCCTTCTGTAGTACTATGAAAAAACCACAGCCATTATCTAAGAACAATACATTGACGGAACTAAACTTTGTAGCCCAATTCAAACTATATGTCAGACTGCTAAAATAATACATGGAACTAAGTTATAGCCACCTTTTCCAGAAATATCCATCAGTCCATACTCTTACCTTAAGTAACAGCCTCATAACAATGTTGACCTGGTTTTCCACAGAGCAAACAGCTGCCTGGTACAATGCATCCAGGAATAAAAATACTATGAACTTGAAAATCCCACAGGAATTTTTTTTTAAAAAACAGATCTTTATGCTTCTTACATACTGCCATTATTTATGTGTTCAAAGAAGTGCATACAGAAGCAATGCACTTATTTCCACTGTGCCCTGACAGTTTTGCTGAAGAAAAATATTTTTCATGAAGAATTACTAAATACCTTACCTTCTTCAAAGGTACGTAACTATACATAGGTGCTGTATCTTACTTAATAAGAAGTTTTATACTCTTCTTCAGCTTGGAAAGGACCGGAACAATGGAAATCTTCCTCTTCCTAACCCCTAGCTCTTAAATTGGAAAAAACCCCCAATATTCACAAACTTTAGCCAGTTCAGTATTTTAAACCAAGGAGAAATACTGGTTTTATGCTAGTACTTCATTCTTGTTGACAATGCCTACTGTATGTACTGATAGGAAATGTATCAACTACATGCTTTTAAAAAGAATTAAGAGTTTTGCTGCTTTATCACAAAGCACTTGAGTAAGGCCTGGTTTACAATTCTTGCTCAAAAAAGGCCTTTGAGATCATTTGAGAGAGAAGAAGGGCCTCTGGTTTCCTAGTCAGGGAACAGGAAACTCAGGTGAATAGAAGCAGGTCCCAGCTTCCACAGGGAGGGGCATGTTCTCTTCCCTTTACTTGCCATTTAACCATGGAGTAGCTATTCTCTTTGATTTTTTTTCTTCCCCTTCTTGCAGCAACGTAAGAATGCACAGTGGAGAGGCATTACTATTATCAGTATCTGTCAACACCTTTCTTGCATATTTACATATTTGAACAGCACTAAGTACTGCTGTAAATGGCATGAAACTGATTGCCATCATCTCCATTAAAATTACCCACAAATACATTAACAGATTGCTTCAGCTCATGGTTTTCTGCTAGGAATCTGATTTTGTGCTCAGCACCATGTGGATGTACATGGTGCTGAAATGTAAAGTCACCTGGCATTTTAATACATACACCAATATCAAAATAGAAATATGGAAATTATAGCTACCAAAAAAAGTAAGAAACCGCAATCAGGCATGCACATGTGCACACACACACACACATTCAATGTGAATTTCAGGCTTACCTGGGGATTCTTGAAAAGTGCATATTTCTCTATACGTTCCACAAACATTAGTTTGTTTTGACTGTCTCTTGTCCAGTTCAGAAGATTTTCAACTAAATTTTCATGATCTTCAAAGATCCTTTCTGCAGCAATAACAAGAGAGCAAATACATTTGAATCTGTCACATTTTGTGATAGAAACTACTCTGTAGTCACATCTGGGAGACAAGGTAGAGAAAACACAGTTCAAGGTCTACCAAAATGGAGAAGTTTAAGAAACTAAAAAGAGCCTAGTCAACTTTCAGATGTGCCTGGTTTAATTTTACACATATGCTCACTCAACACTCTCCGTTCCGTCTCTTCAGACTCATCCATCATAGAGGAAGTGTTTTTCTTCTTTTTACCTGATAAAGCCTACCATCCCACATGAACACAGCAGACTCAAATGACACCATTTCAAATGTTATGAGTACCAATAAGAAGGTTATCACATTTATATGTACTCTGGTTCTCCAACCCTTGGATGAATTTATTAGGAAGCTTTTCAGCACAAAATTTGTTTCTCCATCCCCAATCACTATCTCACTCATAAAGTATCAAAAGAAGTAATAGACAATGATCAGAGGGGAAACAAAATGCTTCTGAAACGCAGAATACCCATGGTTAGGGAAGGTATGGTAGAAGTCTGAAAACTGACACTGCCTATTTATTACAATCTATCTTGCTGAACAAATGACGTATCAACATTAGTTTCTGAGAACTCTGAGTGCTGACTGTCGAAATAGTTTTCACTAGTACAAGTTACTATGAATAGGCAAAAGAGAATAGAGGAAGAACAAAGAAGAAATTTTACTGAAATGGTAGAGAAATATCTGAAACCCTTATTCTGAAATAAATAAGGAAAAACAAATCTTTAGGAAACTACTAGGATCAATTTTCTCCTCCTTTCAAAGCCACTGAAGTAGAATCATACTTTCTGCATTTTGTTCCCTTTTCACATAGTCCACACAGTGGTATTTCAGCAAATTATTTATCTTAGAATCCTTTTGGACTTAGAATCATAGAATTGTTTAGGCTGAAAAGACCTTTAAGATCATTAAGAACCGCCATTAACCTAGCACTGCCAGGTCCACCACTAAATCATGTCCCTAAGCACCACATCTACTCATCTTTTAAATATCTCCAGGGGTGGTGACTCCACCACTTCCCTGGGCAGTCTGTTCCAGTCATTGTTAGCCTTTTCAGTGTAGAAGTTTTTCCTAATATCTGATCTGAACATCCCCTAGTGCAACTTACGGCCATTTCCTCTTGTCCTATCACTTGTTACTTGGGAGAAGAGACCTACACCTACCTCACTAGAATCTCTTTGCAGGTAGTTGTAGAAAGCCATAATGTCTCCCCTCAGCCTCCTTTTCTCCAGGCTAAATAATCCCAGTTCCCTCAGGCACTTCTCATAAGACTTGTGCTCTAAACCCTTCACCAGCTTCATTGCCCTTCTTTAGACACACTCCATCAACTCAATGCATTTCTTGTAGTGAGGGGCCCAGAATTTCACACAGTATTCGAGGTGCGGCCTCACCCGTGTTGAGTACAGGGGGACAATCACTTCCCTACTCCTGCTGGCCACACTATTTCTGATGCAGGACAGGGTGCAATTGGCCTTCTTGGCCACCTGGGCACACTGCTGGCTCACGTTCAGCCTGCTGTCAACCAGCACTCCCAGGTATTTTTCCACCAGAGAGCTTTCCAGCCACTCACCCCCAAGACGACTTTCTACTTGTAGTACATGTACCTAAACCACTCTCCTCAAAAACTAGTTAACCGCACACATATGAAGCAGACCACATAAAATGCAAAGACAATGAGGAACTCCACAGGACTAGTGTCTTTCTCCGCAATTGGTTAACTTAAAGCTTTCACTGCATTTTATTGAACTGCGCAATCAATGAGCAATCAACTGACAAGACAACATGGTGAAGGTACATAGCTCTTCTGAGTTTCACTAAAGGAAAATATTATAATAATGGAGTTCCTCTTACATAGGCATTGGCAGAAAAAATAACGCAACACAGTACAATACACAATAGTACAGAGAGGGAGGGCTTTGTTGTAATAATTTTTTCATCTGTTTTTCAAGTGCCAGTATAAAATATATGAATCAAACAGCCCACATTTTGGACTGTCTTTAAAAAAAACATACATGTGAAATCTATGAAAAACTACCTAGAAGTTGCCCTATAAAAGGATCAAGGAAAGTCATGCTGAAAAATGAAATAGGCAACTGAATTCTATGCTCTTGCATCTCTCTTAGGTTTATCATGTTGAGGTCTGAATTTAAAATTCTGTAATTTTAATAGATGTTGTTCTTTAGCTCAAAACTCTTTCAACACCGCAGTCAAATTCTGTCATTCCCAGTATGTCACTGAGGCCATACTATAAGGCATGCATATACTTGCAAAACACCCAACAACAAGAGAGATTTGTTAACCTTGGTTTCATTTAAAAATAATCTTAATTCAGTCACACTTAATCTGGATAAATATCAGTTTATCTTTCTGTCTGCAACCTAGCTCTTTTTTTCTAGCAGAAGTTGAAAATAGTTTTTCCGATATTTTTTCCTTTTCAGGCTGCACAGTGAATGAAAGTGTCTTATGAAAGTAAATCTAGGTTGGGAAAGACTTCTGCTTGAGCCTTGAGTCCAGGATCCTGCTTTCTACATATTCAGAGATTTTTCAGTGATAGAAACATAAAACTATTATAGAACTAATAGGGTTCATACTATCCTCATTGGTAAAATGTTGAGAATTACACCTTTGATTTTTATATACCTAATCTGGATTTACATAGAATTTGTGCAAATTCTTTCTGGCTTCAAAACTGGGCAACTCTTAAAAATTTCATTTATTAAAATTTTAAGGTTTTGAGCCTAGTAATGAGTCAAAGGATACCTTGTCACCCTGCAACAACCTTTTTTGACAAACAATAAGCAAAGTTAACATGCTACAACGCCTGAAATAGAAAAGATTTCACCAAAAGAGAGAGGAAATACTAATCCACATTTTAATTTGAAATCAAGATAATTGGGTTCAGTTCTGGGCTTTTCTTTAGTCAATGTGTAAGATGCTTAACAGCTCTTTGATGAAATTCTTCTCTGATAATGGGGATTAATAACTATTTTTCTATAATTTTTCCCCTTCTTTTTCATTCAGATGTTATATCCTTTGGCTAAATGAACAACTGATACTGTGGTATGTGCAACACAGCACAAAGGAGCTTTAACTGCCCTTAAAGCCATATTGCCAATTGCATTAAAATATTTAACGGGAAAAAAATGTAGACAACTTTTTGTAATAAGAGCTATTAGGATCAGTACAAAATACTACTTACAAAGAGGAAGATGTATGTTAAGTTTTTTATTCAAGCTCTTTCTTCTGTGAGAAACACATAAATACCAAGAGGCTCAGTGACTAGACATCAGTAAAATAGCTATTTCACACCTTAGAATTCAGACATGTTTTTAAAATGAAAGAAGAAAACATTCCCAGATCACTCTGAAACAAAGTCATTCATGGCTTTATCACATGAATGAACACTTACTACATGAGTGAACATTTACTACTTGAATGAATGGGATGATGAACATTATAAAGACAAGAATTTAAAAAATTCTGAGGCCACATGTATACACAAGTATTAGATCAATAGGTAAGAATGCTAAGTGCCTATAACTACTACTTACCCATTTGCAATTCAGAAATGGTTTCCACCAATGACCAGTCTAAACTGTAACCACAATGTGATTTGTCCATCAGATTGTCTAATACTTGTCTCACTGTCTGCCTCTCATCCACCATCATTGTTTTTGAGCTGTCATCAGACATATGGACTCTGATCACCAACTATTAAGCAGAAAATAAGGACAAGAAGCAGAAGGATTAATTTCCCACATTGCAAATAAGCCACATTTTTAAAGATGTTTCTTTTTCTAAGATTTTCTTAAAATAGCATAAAACATTAAGTTAAATCAAAACACTCCCTCAAAATGTAAAAAGCCAAAAATGATAGTTAGATATTTGTACCATGGACACTTAACAAGATACCATTCTCCTTCAGCACAAGCAAGTAAATATAAAAGTCTTCCCAATACAATAACGTGTTGGGTGTTAAGGAGGAAAAAATCCTCTCCTGTCAAAATGTCCTTTTTGGATTAGTCAAGTGTCTTTGTGACTATTTTTTCCACATATCTAATATATGGAACAAACATAGATACAGAGATCTGCACAACCTCATATAGAATCAGAATTTTTCAGATTTGCAATTCAAGCTTTTTGCCTGTTCATTATGTAAACAATATACCTATACTAAATCATCTTTCTCTGGGGAGTATGAAGCATTAGCACAAAAGAAATCTGTTTTTAAAATGGAATGGCTTTTCACAGACACTTTGAAACAGGTCACTGCCTAGAAAGAAACATTCAGCCATTTTTTTAACCATCCAAAAATATTTAAGACAATAGATTTTTATTGCCAATCATTATACTTCAGTTTTTGCACCTTATTCAGATGGAAAAGTTAAAACATACTAGCTGTAATCCACTGGCTGGCTTGTTAATTCCCATCTTCCAGCCAAGACAGTTTTTCAGCATTTGATATACAAACACTACCTGTAAAAGGCATTTTAAGCTACTGAAAAACTGCAAATGCAAAATAAAATTGCTAAATTTCAAGGGAACACTTTATATTCTTTGACAGTGTGTCAAGTAATGTCAGTAGACTTTCTCCACTTGGTAACACCCGTCTGCAGTCTGGAATGCTTGTATTCCATTATCACGGGAAAATATTGCTATGCATAACGGGAAGGGGTCTGCAAAGAAAAGAGACCCAGATTTTAAATGTGCGATTGTTTAATATACAATCTCAGGAGGATGAACCTTCATTTCAGCTCCAGGTGGAAGTCGGCAAAGTCTTCTCAATGTGCACTAGCTGCAAAGTAAGTTATTCCTTAAGAAAAACATGTTATTCCATATTCTAGGATTGTCTTGTTTTGGTCCAGTCTAGATGTAAAAGCACATTATCACTCAAGATCAGAACACTACAGTGTTCCTATTTTATTTAGGGCAACTCAAGGGTAAAACACAAATTAGATGAATTTTGCCTGCATTTTCCAGGTGAGTAATTATAAAATAAAGATCTTATAAATCAGTATAAATAATTTACCTTTTTCACTTGTGCCTCTTTAATCTTCTCCAAAGCAACCCTTATCTTCTCAGCTTTGAGTTTAGCAGCCTGTTCCTCCTAGGGGGACACAAATCACAGAATTCCAGTTAACACAAACTTTACTTTACAAACTGGTTTTAGTGTATTTGATTTTGAGGCTACCATGCTTTAAAACATTAACTGAAATGCTGATTTACCCATCTACAAATCCTCAACTATTTCTTAGTGATGATGAAGACAATAGTTTTTTTAAGACAAAAAGAGTTACTATACATTTAGAAACACAACTGTTGCTATGTTCAAAAGAAAATACTAGTGGTAAATATTTTGTATAGACACATTTGGCATTTCTCTGTTCTCTCTTACTGTAAGTAGCCTTGTACATTGCTATCAAATATTTTTAGCATATCATGTATTTACAGTCATAGATTTGGACAGTACATACTCAACAATAGTGTACAACTGAGTACACAGATTTTTGGTTGATCGAAACAAAACATAAATAGCACACTGAGAAATGTCAGAATTTAACAGAAATTATGGAAAACAAATCCTATAAATAGGATTCCACACTATGTGCATTGGTTTGGAAGATTTTAACCTATTAAATCTGTCTGCAATAAGTAGCTTCAACACTTCCTTTATCTTTACTAAATCCAGGCCGTATTTCTCCTTGCTTTTAAGTATTTTAAGATGCATAAAGCAAACAAGCATTCTTTTCTTTGATGCTTTTTTAAGTAATCTATTTTTGTTACAATAGAAAACGCATTAAAGATTCAGATAATTTCAATCTCTTTTATCTGCTGATGCTAAAGAAATCTGTATACTGTAAGACTAGCAATACTGTTTTTTCATTTGAGGAGATTATTTATCTTTCTGTTGAAAGTGGATTTGACATATGCAGCTAAACAAGCAACTGCTCCTATTAAGATGCCAAATGCAGGTTTCTGATTTTAGAAATCTTACATTGTGGATCTTCATTGTGGCTAATATCTAAAAGCATGATAATTATTTTTAAATCCCTAGAACAATAAATAAACATAATAAATAAATAAATAAATAAATCCCCTCCAAAATATTAATTGTCCTTAGAAAAGAAAAATTAAGATTTTTCTCAGATCAAAAGCAGCACAGCCCATCACAACCACATTCAGCACACCACAGACATTTAGTTCTGCAATGTTTTCTTGTAGGAATATAATCTGTGGTTTCTTTACCATGTGTTTAGATGGTTGTTTTCTTGTAAAAGTCAAGACTCAGCCATCCTGAAATCCACAGAATTTAAGTTTTCCACTTCTCAATGAACTACTAACATTCCTATCAACTGCTAAAGGGCATTCCCTATAGTACTTATTGTACTCTTACTTAACAGCTTTTGCTCCCTCACAGCTGTGACCACACTATGCACGGGGAAAAAACATCAGCTAGACAGGACAATAGGCTGCCTTGTGAGAAACACAATTCTTTTGAATCAAATGAATCAGTAAGTTGACACGAGCAGAAATTATGTGAGCTTGAAACATTATCTGGGAACTCAATTACCTAGGAACATAGGTTTTTATTAGTCTACAGGGAACGATGGCTTTTTATTTACCATAATGATGGTGACATAGCTTAGAAAGGTTAAATCAGATTAGCCTTCTGTTGAAAAAAAAATAAACAGTGCCATGATACCTGGAGTCACTGAAATGCAAAACACACCTATAATTCTAAAATATTCTTCCTCTTCCTTAACTTTAACCATCTGTAGAAGTAAATCATTACTAAAAACCATGGCTTTTAATATTTGTAAGTTTCTAAAAGTGATGCTATGCACCTGTGCATTATGAAATCAACAAGAGCAAAAGCTTTTTTTATTTTATTATAATTTTATTCTAATTTATAGTTTTAAAAAGCTGCTCATTAACCTAACCATAACCCTTTATTGCTGTACAAAGGTTGACAGCACATTCAGTTTAACTCTTCACTAGAGTCAAGTAGCACAATTTTCCACCCCATTTCACTGCACACCTGTGCAATGCAACTATCTATAACAAACCCCAGCAGGAGCACTTTACAGCCATGGTGCACAGGCAGCAACAAGAGAGCAAGCAACAAAGAATCAGGTGGGAACCTCTTGTATACATGCACCAACAGGTGAAGTATCTCTGTTGATCTCAAAATTTATAATCCATTATTCCCTAAAATGCTTTTAAAAATAAACATGTAGACCAAAAACTATTTCAAAGACTTATTATTTTAACAGCTATCAATTGCTCTTCATTTCCCATTCAATTTTAACGTAGGTCCAGAGATCAGGATTTCTTATAATTTACTAAAGTTTAACAAAGTCAGTTTTAATTTAAACAAAAACCCAGAATTATACTTATAAAAATAAGAACCAGTTTCAACCAACAACAAATTATAAAAAGAGGTCTGAATCTACATACTGGAAATGCACAGAGGAAGAGGAAGCAAGAATCAGAAAATTCTGAAGGCACAGAATACTCAAAAATTTTAAGTTACCAAAGTTTTACTTTACAGTTAGTGCTCAGGCCACTGCTGCATCACTGCTGATGTGACAACCAACGTTTCATTGGAGCAGGAAGAGGAACTACCTATTTTGATTACTCAATAAAATAATTTAATAACTACAGAATTCTTCAAAACTCACAAGATTATTCTATTTCTCTCCTAACGGCCCAAGGAAATAGTCATCCACATCCTCTCTCCATCAAAGCCACCCCAAAACTGCACTCAGACACAAACACAGGCTCCCTCATTCCCTGTATATGGAACCAAGACAACTCCTCAATGGGAGAAAGCATGTGCAATCCATCAGCTTGTACTTAACAACATTTTTTCACTGCACATGGAGAAAGGTGACAGATGGCAAAAATACCTGACTGCAACTGTCAACTATTCAACACCACAAACTAACAAGGCCAGCACATACAGCCCAGTCTCATTTAACTTTGGTATTTATTTCTCCTTTACTAGTAAACCCTTCTAGTAATAGTGATGGAAATTAAGTTGCCAAAGGATCATAAACATGCACATAAATGGCAGGACTGCTGCCAAGGCCATGGTTTCGCACATGGCATAAAACAGTGTAAATTCCTGACAAGGCCAGTATACCTGCCTCCCCAGCACAGCATTACTGCTCAGTTATAGCAGCCACAGTGCTGCTGTGGCCACACAGACAATTCAGTCAGGGAGCTGATCTGACTGAAAATTAACACAGCAGAAAAATTCAGCAGAATCTACCCCTTGATAAGACTGCCTTTATGGTCACATACATGCATATACTCACTGCATAAAAACACCAAAACATAGATAAGTGTCATTTCTACCTCTGACAGAAAAAGGATATTCTATTTTAGTAGCAGTACACATCACTGTAAAATTGCAACATAAGTTCCTCGCTTTAATGGGATGACTTCAGGAGTGTTGTTATACTTGCATTTTAAAGCTGAGACTACATTTGGTTATGGAAAACTTCACACGATCTAAAGTATGCTTGGCAACACATTTATGTTAAGAACTAGTTAGTCCAAAACAATATATAGTGAACTAAAATTGAAAGACTACGGCTCTGCAATGCTATGGTCTTAAATGAACGATGTTTTCTTTGTATTTTTATATCATAGTCCTGTTTTCAATAACTTTAGCCTATACTGGAATATTAGAAAGAATAACCCCCAAAACTCTAAAGCTAAGATGTAAAGGCAACCACAGACTCCTGCCTCTGTTTCCAGTTAAATGTGCAGTCAAAGATATTACAGTTGTGTTTTAACATTAAATATGCAAGATGTGTGCTATGACAGAGCTGACCTTGCTCAAATGACCATGTCTCACATTTCTAGGCTAGAGTTCTATTTTTTTGTTTCATTGTACATTTTTAAAGTGACACTAACACCTGCCTTTTACACAGATAACAGACAGCATGGAAAAACGAAGGGGCGAAGAAAATAACTTGAGAAAGGTTACAGTACTCAGAAAAGCTAGTAATTAAATAACAGGAAGTAAGTAATGAAGTCCATGTTTCACTTAAGTTAGCATGGTAGTCACACAGATCACAAGCATAGAATCATTTGGTTGGAAAAGACTTTTAACATAATAGAGTCCAACCATAACCTATCCACTACTAAACCATGTCCCTAAGCACTACATACCTCCAAGGATGGTGACTCCAGCACTTCCCTAGGCAGCCCATTCCAATACTGGGTAACACTTTCAGTGAAGAAATTTTTCCCAGTATCCAATCTAAACATCCCCTGGTACAACTTGAGGTCATTTCCTCTCATCCTATCACTTGTTACTTGGGAGAAGAGATCAACATCCACCTCACTACAACCTCCTTGTAGTGATTGGTAGTTGTAGAGAGCAATAATGTCTCCTCTCAGCCTCCTTTTCTCCAGGCTAAATAACCCTAGTTCCCTCAGCTGCTCTCAATAAGATTTGTGCTCCAGACCCCTCACCAGCCTTGCTTCCCTTCTCTAGACATACTCCAATGCCTCAATGTTCTTCTTGGAGTGAGGGGCCCAGAACTGAACAGAGTATTTGAGGTGAAGCCTCACCAGCGCCAAGTACAGGGGAAGGATCGCTTCCCTGGTCCTGCTGGTCATGCTATTTCTGCTACGGGCCAGAACACCAGTGGTCTTCTTGGCCACTTGTGCGCACTGCTGGCTCATACTGAGCCAGCCGTTGACCAGCACCCCCAGATCCCTCTCTGCCACAAGATGCATAAAAGGAGAAATTTCTTTTACGCTTAACATTTGAATTTTTTCTCTGAAGTCTTTCTATGAATGCAGAAGAGAAGATAACTAAATACACAAGTAGCATCGACTTCTGAAGGACTAGAAGCAGGTATCCAGTTTATTTCCCTCACTACAGTCTAGCCTCAGGTAGAAAGGCAATGACCTCTTTTGCAAGGATTCTCTTTCCTGCAGAGTTTTTATTGAAACAGAGGTTCCTCTTGCCTGACACCACTACATTAACATCTCAATTTGTACACAATGCCCCAGAACTTCAAGGCATTTTTATTAGCCCTATGTTTAATGTGTATTAATCAGAACATTAATCACATTAATGAAGTG